CATGAATTCTATAAAAAAACTTAAATAATTAACATTAATATAGTAGTTTTAATTCAGATAGTAAAATGACATAGTTGAAAAAGGTCAAAAACATAGTTTTATTTAAAACTTTTGGAAAATATATGTGTCAGAACTGTATATTCGGTCATTTAGTTATCGTATACACAAATATTTTTTTTTATTATTTAAAAATATGTATAGCATAAATACGGTACGACAAGCCACTGTATAGCGCCTGGACGCCGTATACACGGACGCATGGACCGTATTTTAGAACACTGATTTTAGAGATGAAAATAGAAGTGGATTGGAGGAAAAATTGAGGAGTGCTATATTTTGTTCTATTATAGAGGAAGAAATAGAGGTGAGTTAGAGATGCTCTAACATGGGACAAAATGAATTAAAAGAAATATACTTTATTGATTACATCATATCTTAAAACAAAAATTGCTCAAAAGAGGGAAAAAAGTTCCTTCTTTTCTGTAAAATAATTTTGGATTCAAAACCGTTCACACGTTTGGTCCTTTGCAAGTGACTTTCTGCTAAAGTAAACCATTAAGCTGTCCACATGACTAAGACAGGCTGTGTGACTAATCAATCTTAGTAACCATAGTTGGAATATTTTTTTCCCACCCAAAGTTTGTTAATCGCTTTGAAACCGAGTTCAAAATTGATCGAAATCGGTTTGGATATCGGTTTAAAATTCACCAGTAATCACCACAAGAGCAAACTCCATTCTTGAAATGATGAAACCGGTTTGAATCCCTTACGATGATCTCTCTCTCTGTGATTCTCGATATGAACTTGGTTACGCTATGGCAATCGCCGCATACTCTTAGATTCTTAAATATCTGAATCTTCGTCTTTGGAGGCGTGGCGATAAGTCCAAACGCAATAGCTAATCTTTCACTATGACTCATGAGTATATGCTCTTTCTCGTCGTCTTCTACGTCCTGAAGCACAAATCTATGGTCCGGTACATACCCAATCATCTTCATTTTCGAGTGTAACGTCGTTAGTTCTTTGTAGATTTCTTCATACATTGGATGCGTTTGGTTTCCCGTGTAAAAGACCTTGACTTTGTTGTTTACTTCCATTGAGCTCCAACCTGGCGTCTTCCTCAAACCTTTGCCTCGGGCAATCGATCGAATCTCATCAACTCCTTCCCATTTTCCAGCACTAGCGTACATGTTTGACAGTAGAACGTGATACCCAACATGCTCGGGTTCAACCTCGAACAAATGCTCAGATGCGATCTTGCCAAGATCGACGTTTCCATGGACTCTACAAGCGCTGAGAAGAGCTCCCCAAATAGATGCATCAGGCTGAAGCGGCATGCTTTTAATAAAGTTAAACGCGGTTTCTAACTGACCAGCTCGACCAAACAAATCTACCATACAACCGTAGTGCTTCAAGCTCGGTGTTATGCCATAATCAGCTTGCATCAACTCAAAGCACCATTTACCCTCGTCTACTAGCCCAGAATGACTACAAGCTGATAACAGAGTCACAAATGTAATGTGATCTGGCTTCACTCCTTCATCAAGCATTTCTCTAAACAGCATCATCGCTTTCTCGCCATGCCCGTGTAACCCGTGACACGCTATTAAGGTGTTCCATGGTACCGAGTTGACTCTGGGAATTTGATAAAACAAAGAGAGTGCATCGTCTAGTCGTCCACATTTTCCATACATATCAGCAAGGCTTGTTCCAGCAAAAACATCCAAATAAAGACCGTTCTTCAAGAGACGGCCATGGATTTTCATACCTTGACGCAATGCTCCAGCCTGAGAACAAGCGGGCAAAATGCTAACCCAAGTCCCTTGGTTAGCAGTTATATCTCCACCTTCTTCTTCCATCAAGTTATACATTTCAATGGCTTCACTAGCAAAACCGTTTTGAGCATAACCAGATATTATGGTATTCCACGAAATCACATCTTTACACGGGAGCAAATTAAACACTGCTCTTGCTGAATCTACAAGGCCTAGTTTTGCATACATATCCACAACTGCGTTCCCGACGGTAATATCTTCCAAGAACCAGCCTTTCCTCAAAGTGAAACCCTGCACAGATCTACTAGCACGAATGTCCCCTAACTGTGCAAGTATAGAAGCCAAACTAATCAAAGTAAGGCAATCTGGTTGAACTCTATTCAACCGCATCTCCTGAAACAACCAAAGCGCTCTAAGCGGCTGCTCATTCAGCTCGTAAGCCTTAATTATCGAATTCCAAGAAATCAAATCCCTCACAACCATCCTATCAAAAACCTTCTGGCAACCCTTTAGATTACAAGATTCAGCATACATATCAATCAGCTTGTTGGAAACAAACAATTCAGAGTCCAAGCCATGTTTAATCGAGTATAAATGAATCATAACTCCTCTATTAAAATCACCAGCCTCTGTACAAGCCGAAAGGAGACTTACAATAGTAACTGCATCCATAACTTTCAGCTCATTAGACAGAGTTAAAGCCTCTTTAGCATTCCCGCTTTGACAATACCCAGAAAGCATCGCATTCCAAGAACCCAAGTCTCTAAAGGGCATTTCATCAAACAGTCTGCGCGCATTCGCCACGGGTCCATACCGACAATACAAATGGATCAACGAAGCAGCAACAAAGACATCCCACACAAACCCATACTTCAAAGCTAAGCAATGAATCTTAAACCCATCAATCAAACATCTACAAGCTTTCAAAACCGAAGGGAATGTGCGGTAATCAGGTCGGAGTCCAGAAGACAACATGAAGAGACTAAAACACTTAATAGCTTCCGAGAAGTTTCCAACACGGACATAACCAGAAACCATTGCATTCCAAGCATAAACATCTCTGTTCTTGATATGATCAAACGCATGCCTAGCCATTTCGACATTACCAAGATAACAATACAGATTAACAAGTTTAGCAGAGATGCAAACATTTTGGATTTCTTGAGACACAACAAGACGTGCGTGAAGGCATCTAGCTAACTGCAGTCTAGTGCAGTATCTGAAAAGCATGTGAACATCATCACCAATCTCTTTACCATAATCTTGCAAAGCATTTGAAGTTGCTGAAAATTCTCTAAGAACTGGTCCAATAGATTGCAAAAAACCTGTAAAGCTCCTACCTTTCCTGGTCGGAATCAGTCTGAACAGAAAGAAAGAAAAAAAGGACATGAATTTTCGCGGTAAGAAGAGACTATCCAGAGAGAAATTTTCCAAATTGTATCCATTTTGTGTATATACCTCAACATACATGCAATTAGGGTCTTGAAAACTCCAGAAGATTCCGACCAAAAAGGGTTCAGTTCAATTTCAGCGAGGCGATTATTGCTTGAGCTGAGGAGAAACGAGAGATGGAGCGGTGAAGCGGCGGAGAGCCGGTGGCGAGAGACGATGTGTGGACGGAGGTTTTAGTGACCGGTCCATAGGTTTTTTCTTCTTTGATTGAGTTTTGGTTTTTGACAGATACCGCTTTAGACTGTGAACCGAGTGGTTTAACCGCTAAACTTCAAGCCCATTTGATACGACAACTAAAATTAGAGCCCAAATAAGGCCCACAACTTGAAAGTAAAATAATAACAGCCTTCGAGCAAACAATTTGCACTAGG